CATCATACCCCAACCCCACATTTCTACCTGACCCCAATCTTGTAGAACAATTGTTTTCTTTCAAATGGCCAACCTCAGTACTTTAACAAATTGTTCCTAAAATTTCTCCCTGGAAAATACACACACACACACACACACACACACCACCCAGTCTTCTCCCACTGGCTCCTAAGCTCAGGGCCCTTCCCCCACCACCTCCCTTTCCTGTTCCACTGCCTTACTCTCTTCACAAAGTCAATTTCCCCTGTATTTGACATGCACAACATGGAGAAATGAAGAAAAGCAAAAAGAGTAAGTTCTATCCTCCCTCATATGAATGTTTAAATTCCTGCCTTCCTTTCCAGAATGAACTATGAAAAGAAACACCAGACAAGACCCAGTCTGAATGACCCTCCTTGATCTTCTCCCCCCTCTTTCCCTAAAACACCATGGCAACTGCCACCTGAATGAGGCCAGGCGGAAATCATCTAATAAGACTAGGGATTGTTTGCCAATGCTTTCTTGTTTAGCAAAGTTTTGCAAAGGGCATTTTTCTCTTTTTTGCCTTACTCCCCTAGTGCTAGCAAGACAACATGTTGTGCTATAAGCAATTATAAAAACCATATTTGTTGTAGATATTTTCTTGTAAGTCTTGAAATTTTCTTTAAAAGTTGAAAATTTAAGTCACGCTCCAAGTTTGCAGCCAGAAATTGAGGCGCATAACAGAGGCAGATATCAGCAGGATGGCAACCAAATGTCAAACGGTAGTAAAAACCGTAGGCTGTCCAATCGGGCGTTGCTGGGGTAAATTTCAACCCTGTCATTTATCAGCTATGAGACTTTGAACAAGAAAGCTACTTTGCCTCTCTAAGCTTCCATTTCCTCATTTGTAAATTGTGGTGTTCCACATGTGTAGGGTCTCACTGTGAGTTGGAATGGACTTGAAGGCACATAACAACGTGTCTAAGGTGGAGGTTATAAAAAGCTTCCTTTGCAAAGTTGTTTTAGGATTAAATGAGATCATATATTCCAAGGACCTGGGACAGAATGCACTGCAGCTATGATTACTGTTATCAATGGAAACATTACACGTGTTTCTAGATTCCTGGTTCGGTTCCCTTGCTTCAAATTCCTCATAGGATTCTTACTTTTCTGAGGATAGAGGACATGCCTCCACAAGAACTGCTCTTCTACAAACAAACCAGAAAAAGAGGAAGACTAAGAGCAGAGCATTGAGAGAAGAGGTGTTGAATGAAATGCCAAAAAGTTTCCTGGATCCCCACATGACTGTAATTGTACTTTCAGGATGAAAACCACTATGCATGCATATAGAAATACTTTTAAATGACTTAAAACTGTATTAATCTCAACAACACCAATAAACATTTGGCAAGCAGTAGTATATACATTTGAGAGACATGTTGTTGATTTGGTCAATAGACAGAGCTTGGTTCTTGGGTACAGAGATTCATTCCCTTGCAACAACACTGCAGCCTCCTAGGAATCTAGACCCCAGGGTTTGGAAACTACAGGTCAAGCGCAATTGTCTCAAACTTGACTCCGCAAAAGACAGATTTAAGATATATATATATTTTTTTAATCTTAGGTCCCAACCCCATACCCTACCCCCTGCTCCCTGAGATTCCAATTAAGTAGGTCTGGGGTGAAGCCCAGGAATGTGAATTCCAGATAAATTCCTTATGTCATTACTGTGAACCAGTGGGTTTGGGAAATACCATTCCAAGGGAGAGTATGGGGTTCTGGGAATTGGCATTCCGGACTGGCTCTTCAGCCTTTCTCTTCCAGGGATCTCACTCCAATCACCTTCTCTTTGTTCCTCACAGTTCAGGGCTTCTTTAACAGTGGTGGTGTGCTGACATCACAAAACAATTTGTACTAAACTCTCTGAGATTCAAATATTGTGTCTCATTTCTTTACAAAGGAACAACATTTGCTTTTCAAGGACTTAATTTTGTCACCAATGTACTTTAACATCTATTTTAACTAGTCCAGAGACAACCTGTACACACGAATGAAGGATACAGAGATTGTGTTCAAGTGATCTGGTTTAACAATCGAGTCCATGATGTAATACCTCAATAGTACTTTAACCTATTTCCAAAGCAAGAGAAATTATTGGGCCAATGGACAATAGGGAAGCGGAAATAGAAAATGTTGATAAATTTTAAATGTCAAAAGAAGAAACCACAAAGACAGAAGAAAATCTTCATCTTCATCGCCAGCTCTCTCCATCCAGAATATGCCCCCTGAACCCACTCAGGCTTCCACAGGCAGGAAGGAACTGGGGGTGGGGTGCCAGGATAAGTCCCTTTTTCCTGTTTCTTTATTATCTCCAATGCCCTGGAGTGCCTCTTCAGCTTCTTGGGGAATATAAACGCTTAGTTCTACAAGGTCAAAAGACCATAGAACATTTCCAAAAAAATTAGATCACCAATTGAAGAAAGAAAAGTGTTGTTTTAATATTTCATCTAGTATTAAGTCTCTCCCTCTCTCTTTCTTTCATTCTCTCCCTTTCTCTCTCTCTCCCTTCTTCTCTCCCTTCCCTCCCTCTCTCTCCTTCCCCTCCCCTCTCCACTTCACCACACACAGAAACCCCTTTTCAAAGGGGCTTTTTTCCAACTCAGTGAAGTAAAGTCTTTGCCCCTTTGTGGGGCAGGCTCATTAACATTCTCACAGCAGCATCTCTTCAAGGATTTTACTTTTGTAACTCTGTGGGGAGGTCAAGAGGCCACAGTGGAGAGGTAAAAGGAAAAAAAAATGGTAAACGGGCAAGGGCGGAAGAAAGGAGAGGAGGGGAAAGAGCCCTTCCTTTCACAATAAGGGCAGCAAGAAGGAGGGAGAAAAAAATAGGAAAAGACGAAGTACAACCAAGACCCAGGAAACAGATCAATGTGGACTCCCAAATTTGCCCGTGGAGATTTCATAGACTCCTGAGAGAAGCAGAAAGCTAGGTTTCTTCTTCCTTTATTTTCCTCAAAAAGGAAGGTAAATGATGAAAACAGTGAGATGGGAGCATGACAGGACCCAGGCTATTCCACTGAAGAACGATAAACTTTCCTGGCCTGAATGTTCCCAATTCTCTTACAATTGCCTACTTATAACTGCACCTGTATGCCACAGAGAAGTTACTGGGATGAATGAGACAATGTCAGCAGCAAGAATTCCAAGAGTGGAACGAGAGAGGGCCACCCAGGGTCCTGACCTCAAAAGACTAGGAAAATAATGAAGATTCAGTGAACTCCAAAGCGAAGATCAGAGCGCTTCCCATAATTCTGCAGATGTGGGTACCTGCCTCATTTATCACCAGTAAATCAACTACTATCTGTTGTCTCCCTCTCCCCTTTCTAATTATTGCTAAACTAGCCTAGGCTTATGTAAGGGAAGAAATGAAGAGAACTTCGAAACTGCACTTAATCGTATGAATGAACTTTGCTTTGTTTCATTAGCCATCAAATAAATTTATATCACTAAACTCCAAAGGAGAAAATAATTTCCACTTCCCCAACTAAAGATATTTTATATATTCTCTTATCTTGGACAGAAGAGTAAAATGTAAATAGGGTTAATAGAAGGGAACTCAGACATTGTAGCTGAAGAATAGGGCCCATCTGCAATATTCTATGCCACCACCACAGAATTACTCAAATTCAAGTATGAACAGCACAGCCAGAAGTTAAACATAATCAATGAATCACCCTTAAATGTGCAGTTTGAGCAGGAAAGATCTGGTTGGTTGATAAATGATATATTTTAGAGATGGAAGAATTCTTAAAGGTTCAATTTCTTTTCCACAAAGAAACCTTTTCACAGAATCCTTAACAATGGTTTTCAGCCTCTGTATGAACATATTACAGAGAGATCACAAATTCACTAAAGAGTCTATCACACTATTAGAAAGTTCTTTTATGTTGAACTGCAAATGTCTTTTTGTGACTTCCTCCCTGGAGCACAATGACACTCATTTACTTTATCTTCTCAGAGGAATTCCTTCAACCCTAGGAGCTGGACAGGTAGACAGCCAGGAAGCTAGAAAACCCACAGTCCCGTTCCTATTTTAAATGAGATTCCTTTAGATCAATCACTTTTTTTTTTTTAATGCTGCCAATCTGATGACATATTGTACCTTTAGCAATACAGAGAAAAGAATGCTAGACTACTATCAGCATGCCTCCATTCCAGGCCTGTCTCTCGTTACGTCATAGCTGTGCAGCCTTGGATAGGTTACCTAACCTCACCTAGTTTTGGTTCATCTATACATGGGTTCATCTTTAAATGGGAACAGTGAAATCTGCTATGCTTATCTCAGACTTGCAATTCTCAAAATATACCATGTGCATAAAAATATGGTATAAATTATAAAGAGTCATACATATATTAGGTTATTAGAATGACTATCCATATTCCCGCAATCTTTTTGCCAAACTTTCATATCCTCATTTTCAACTGGAGGTAGTTGCCTTCTTGACCTCATGATCGAAATATACCAAAAACTTGTTATCTCAGCTTGTACCTCAGTAGCAGTCACATTATCAAACGGGGGTCAGGAGAGGTGGCACAGATTCATGAAAAGAACCAAAAAAAAGCGCTGCGAAGATCTTGGCAGAAGAGTTAGACAAGCGAGCAAAGGAAGGTCTCCGAGTAGACAGGGAGAGGCCCGGAGCCCTGGCAGGGAGGAGAGGGTTAAATCCTTTCCTCTGCAGTACAAAAGAAAAGAGTGTGCGGAAAGATTAGGATTTTTGCTTTTACAATGGGAGCTGCAGAAGCGTAGGGAAGAAGCTGAAGAAAAAAAAGGGGGCGTCTCCCCTTTAAAGACTTGCAGAGATTGAGAGAGAAAGAGAGAGAGTCAGGGACAGGGAGTCCGAGTCTGTCTGTCTCTGGGAAAGGAGACCATCTCTGCTTCACAGTGATTTGCACTGGGGGGAAAGCCTCAGTTGGCTTCAGACCCAAGGGGGAGACCGGGGCAAGTCACCCCGGTTAAGACTAAGTGAGCGTTGCCCCTCCCTCTCCCACCTCTCTCTGCCCGGGAATGTCTCGGCGAAAGCAGCGGAAACCCCAACAGTTAATCTCGGACTGCGAAGGTCCCAGCGCGTCTGAGAACGGTGGGTGCCTGAGGGGGGGGGCCTGAGTCCAAGCCTGTGTGGGTCAGGCCAGGGCAAGGGGAGGGCACCCAGGCCATGGGCGAAACCAGGGGAGGGGGAACTTGGTCATTGGGGGCTTGAAGGAGTTGATATGTGAGGGGTAAGGAGATGACCTGTGCTGGGGAGAAGCCCACTCAGCTTTTGTAGCGATTGATTCTGTTTGTGTTTTCCTTGTTTTTCTCTGGATGAAATGGAGTTTTCAAACTGGCTGTGTCTCCCCACCCAAGAGTTTTCTCCCCAGGTCCCCCTTTGCTCACTGGTCTTTGTGCCGTTGCTAAGTAACGTCCTCAGACCTGAAGACCGTCTCTTAGGGGTGGGATTTTCCCCCCTTTTCTTTCTGGAGAGTAGGGTTGCAAAAGAATGAATTGGATAAACGTGAAGGTTCCCCTGAGGGAGAAGAGAAAAAAGTTTCTCATTGTTGGGCAGAGCTGAGAGCAGATCAGAGCTCCCAGAGGGAGAGAGATAATGTCGGTCAGAATGCAGCCTGGTTTGGGGTGTGCATCCTAGTCACCTGGGGTAGATTCTGGGGGATCTGATGATGACCTGGATCAGGGGCTTAGGGTTGTGCTTCAAGGAAGGCCAAGCAATAAAAAAAATATGTTAGTTAACATACCCTGACATACCTATAAGTACATGGGTATCATTGCATGAGCATATTATACATAATCTGTTGTTTAAGCGGATTTCCTTTATGAGAGGGACATTTTTCATGGATTCTTATAACATTCCAATGGGAGAGGGAGGGGCAGACAACAGAGCAACTGAGGTACTGAGAAATGACATAGTCCAAAGTCTAAGAGGCTTGGTCAGGACAAAAACCTGTTTCCTGAAACTCAGGGCAGGTGGTTCTCAATCCACTATATTAGTATTTCTCAAACTTGCTTGATTGTGAGTAGATTGTGGCTGGGGCCTGGGAATCTATATCTTTTGCAAGTGTCCTGGTAATTCCTAGGATCAAGCAAGTTTTGGGCACACTGGTCAGTAGTATGGCTACGTACATGCACACCTGTGAAAGTCTGGAAGTCCTGGCTCAGGGATCAACTATCTATTGAGCAAACAGTTGGTTTGCCCAGCAATGTAGTCTAGGGTTAAATGCAAGAGTTCTGATTTGAAGCCAGACTTAGGGTTCAATTCCTGACTCCACCACTTCACTGTACCAAATTGAAATGAGTAAAATGCTTAGAAAATTACGTAACATAAATAAGTACTTAATACATGTTGTTGCTGTAGGTTGGGTATTATTATTATGTTATGTGAGTGCAGTGGCACTTCCTACAAGTGCTGAAATATGACCAAAGTTCAGGAGCACTGGGTGAACTTCAGCACAGCATTTTATTTTATGAGATGTGTGCCATGATCAAGCTCTAAGATATTTGTAGTGACTGAAACTACATCATGGTGTAAACTTGTCTTTTTCACTTGTTGGGAAAAAAAAAAAAAAAGACTTGAGGTTAAATCAGTGCTCCACAGATCATGGAAGGAGCTCCGGTGGTGTAGTGCCTAAGGCATTTGACTGCTAACCAGAAGGCTGGCGGTTCAAACCCACCAGCCACTCCTCGGAAGGACAGTTGGGCAATCTACTTTTGTAGTGATACTGCCTTGGAAACCCAAGCAGGGGTCGCTATGAGTTGGGTCCGACTCCACAGCAGTGGGTTTGGTTTTGGTTTTTATAGATTATGGAACAACTTTAACAGACAGATTGTGTTTTGGGTAGAACACATCCTCCCCAAGTTACTGCTTTGCTGGGATCCCACTGTGCCCATATTTAGAGGTTCTATTGGTGGCATCCCTTCCTACGGGGACACATTAGCCCTCCTTAATGCTGCTACAGGCTGGATGTTTCTTACTAGTGCTCTACAGGAGACTTCCCTCAGAGCCTCAGAGTTGCCTCTCAGACTTGCTCCCCTGCTGGTTCACTGTGGAACAATGCTGAACCTTCTGGGGCATCCTCTCTTCTCCTTCCCACTTCTCCCAAGTCTGTTCACCCAGACAGCTGAGGAAAAAAATCTTCTCTGAGGGAAAAGGTCAGTAGGAATCTTTAGCAATTACCCTGAATGAATTCTCAACCCATTGAACTGTATCTCCTCCCACTTGGAGCTATGAATCCTTAGGGGCATGGAGATGCTGTGACAAAACCAGCCCCATAAAAAGAATATAGGCTTGAACCCAATGGCAGCAACAAATTTCAGTAGAAATTTTGCCTTTGAGCCATAAAAAGCAAAAATACGAATGTGAAAAAAAAAAAAAAGGAGACCAGGTTTGCTGGTCTAATATAGCCTGGTAGAACCACTGACACTATGGCCCCCAGCTGCCCTTCAGCTTTCAAATTGAACCCGCTCCTGTGGCTTCCAGACAAACAAAAGACAAGCATATGAGCTGAACATTTACATTAGGTAGATACACTCCTTGGAGAGATCAATCATAGGAGATGGAAGGACTGTGTATGCACAGGGAGACAGCTGGATGGTGGGGGTGGGGAGGTGGGGAGGTAGGGGGGCAGGAGTACCTAGGAGGTAAGGACACAGGGAAGAGATAACTATGGGGAGGAAGTGAGAGGGGAGCCGTTCCATTGTGGGAAATTGCAGTTAATGTCATGAGACA